CGGATTGTCTCAAAAAGGTGCGTGAGTAAGAAAAAAAAAACCTGGGTCCTGGACCCTCGTTTGCAGTCGCAAAAAAGGCGCGCGCAAAAAAAAACCATTCACTCGTTTCGCTAATTGTGTTGAAACCCCGCTTCCGGGCGGCGTCCACATGGGGTTTCGCTCTTTCTGATGTGGCGCAACGAGGTGATGTGACTGCAACATAGGCAGGAAAACCCGCACCAGGCGGCCTTTTCATCCATGTCGTTACATGTGCTGAAACCCACATACGGACTGCATTTGCGATATTTCTGATGTGATGGAACGGGGTGATGTGGTTTCGCTCTTTCTGACGTGACTAAACGCGGGTGATGTGATTAAACGCGGATCGGGGCGTGCACTTGGGGCCCAATGCGGCGGCAGCCTACGGTGCACCAGCAGCCCACACGGCCTTGGGGGCGTAGGCCCTTGCTTGGAGCCGGGTGGGGGCAGGGGCATGGTGCCAGCGCTCGTCTTGCAGGACGTCGAGGGAAATTCGAGCAAAGAGCTGGCGAGGGCTCGCGGGGGGGCGAGACACATAGGCCGCCCGCAAAGCCGACCGAACGGCAGCGTGCGCATGCGCAGCTCGCGCTCGGTCCAATTCATTGTTGCCGTTGCTTTCACATGCACGAGTCATAAGCACTGACTCTCCACGAATCAATCAAGGTCGTGCGGTGGAGCTGCTGCCGGACTACCGACCGTCGGCTTCGACAGTATTTGGTTTGTGTTGTCGGGGCTGACTGATCTTGTGAGGCATGCCACAGTTTCGGTAGCAGATTACGTGGAACGAATGGTGGAAAACATCTTAGTTTGTTCCGTTCTTGATCACGGCATTCAGGTACGATTAAAAAAATTGCTTGCCGGTTTTACCGAACGATTTTGTGGATGGGTTTCGATGACATACATGTTTCAAGCATGCAACAAACACCTAACTTAACCGACCATGCTTGAACATTCTTGAACATCATGCGTCGCCAGGCTGTTCTTTTCCTACCAGCAGGAGTCCGAACCCCAGCCAAGTTACCGAGAATCCCCAGGCTTTCGGATTGCGGAGCTAGAGCAAAGGTTCGCATGTCGGACGTACAGGGTTGAATACATTGCGGCTTCATGCGATGAAGGCGCCCGGCCAGGATAACCCGACTGTGCTGTACTGTCTGGGAACCCAATGACAGTGCAGACCCCTGCGTTCGCGATTAGATTCATTAAAGTGATTCGATGTTGCCGACCAAGGTGTGGCGTGAAAAGGAAGGTGATCGTCGTTCAAAATGGGCATGGCATTATATAGTCTTGCAGAGACGCCCGATTGTCCACACCTTTGCGCACGATTCTTCTCGAAACCCATCAGTGGCCAAGTTTCCCATTGGGGAGAAGAAGGTGCGGCCGTGACATCGCGACATTACGAGGTAGAAACGGTATAATAGATGATAGAAGCTGGGCGCAACAATGTCATCCATGTTGGCTGTTTGGTCGTTCGGCGTGAACCAACCCTAGGAATCAAGGACGTGTTTTCGCTTGTTGCATTTGCCAAGGATGGACGAGTTCGTCAACAAGCTTCAGGCAGAGCTTCCGATGACTGCACAAGGGACTTCGATTTGCTCGGATGGGCGACCGCTTTGTCCACCGTGAATCTAGCAGCGCAGCCAAGCGTTGTTGAATTCAGGGCTTTGTGCGGTTGTTGGCCCATAACTCGGGATTTGCGTGCGAACATCCTTAAGTTCCTTCAGTTGTCCCATGTAACTCCTCGTGGTGCTCGGCTCTGGAAGGCAGCTGAACTCGCCTCGTTTGAATTCGCCAGACACCATTTCGCAAAGTCCCGAGACAGGAGCAGCTTCGTGAATTTACCACGGCAGAGGGCCGCATCAAAACGGTGAAGGCCTGACCCTCCGAGTTGCGAAGAATTGCTTCTGAAATTTATATGGCTTCTATTGAATTCAGAGACCTATGTGACGAGGACCAGTTATTTAAACGGGCATTCCGAGGCTTTTGTAGCAGGTGCTGACAAGCTCTCAACAGCCGCAGCCCTTGGATCGGTTTAGATGTTGGGAGCAGAAAGGGGAGCATCTCCAAGCATCGCTGGGCCCACGCCTCGGAAGCATAGCGTCCATGGTGTTTACATAGGACTCTTTTTCGCATCAGCTCGAAATGATAGTTCTCGCCGCCTGCAACCGTTTGGCTACATGAGCGGCGATGTTGACCCGCCTGGTTCAAGTAATGCTTTCCTCCCTGGACACGCCACGACACACTGTTAGTAACCTTGTTGTAAGCGCGGGAAGGTTGGCTTCACAGTGCCGTATGGGAGCTCCAGAAAACAGGGCCTGGGATTTCGACCTTAATTAGTAGAGCCGCTGCATCCAACAAGAAGGGATCTCAATGGAATTGGAGCTGCCCACATCTTTCTGGCTCTTGGCCACGGTGTTCTTGGAGCTGGTCTTGCTCGTGCGTCTGTTGTGCCTGGCAGCTGCGTGGCGACAGGTGCAAGTCTTGATTCTTTGTGGGAGTTTCGCCCAGTATAAGTGCTAAAGCCATGAAAGTTGGAGGTTCGTTTTCGTCAGAAGCACTAAAGAAGAGATCCCACTTCTCACATGCCATTGTGTTCTTGCCACAAACTCTCGGATTAGCCAGCAATCGAGGTTTTACACCGGCGCTACATCCGCGATCTTGTGTCCAAGTTTCGCAAAAGCATTTGCAACGTGATCTCCTGTGGGAGCCACAGCAGGGTGAAGCTTCCGGAAGTCCTCGGCGAGAAGATCAATGGCATGCGCATTAGTATGGCTCATGCTTACTTGAATTTGCTGGCTTTCATGGTGTTGTTGCTGGTGATCATGTCGCAGAGGGTCGTTTTGCTGGACTTGAGCTCTACGGTGACATACGCTTTCCGGTGGCACCTCCTGTTCATGCTCGCGGTGAGCATTGCCCACTTGATCCATCCCACATGGATGCTCAAAACACCCATGACCTGCGATTTCTGGTATCTGCTTGTCATGTCATCTGTCATGGCCGTGGCACTCTTGCCGGATTCTGGGGCGCCGGACCACACATGCACAAAGAACATCCAAAGTAGTGTTCCGCAGCATGCCATGCCGACACGGTTCGGGTCCATCGCATCGTGCATGTCAGTTGAGAGTTTTTCTGAGATGAAGGACCACATGCTGTTCACGGATACTGCGTGCCTGGCTATCCTCTACCGTGTGCCAACGCTCCTGCTGCCCAGCCGACTCTGGGTGGTGTTTTGTGCCAACCTCGTCTACGCAATCTGCAGCTTGGCTGGACAAGTTTGCGCTGCTGCAGCTTGTCCGATCTTCAAAGCCAATGAGTACGATAGGTCTCCAAAGGTTCCAAATGATCGGCCATTCGCGGGTCAGGGCCCCCGATCCACGCCCCGAGCTTGATAGGCCAGCCGTACAAGCTGACTGTACACACACAAGCCCTGAGCTTTGTTCTGTGAGGCTCCATCGGCAAGGGTCCAAGCCACTTTGTCGTAGTTGAGGCGGGGGGCATGCGGGCTTATCACTTGTTGGACTTGGCGCGATGTCTCTCCACGTCGATGAAAGACTCCTGGTGCTCCGCGCAGTTTCTGCTCTTGCTGATCATCACGACCTCCTTCATCGGGCTCCGGTCGCTGCTAAAGAGACGAGTGCCTAGGCAGATCGTAGTTAAAAGACTCCAGCAGCAGATCCGGTTTTCGCTCAGGCAGAGCAGGATTTCCGCAATGCCGAGGCGTGGGGCAAGATGCCGGCCTAGCTACCAAGTCCTTGGCGTGTGTTCTGCTGCTTAAGGATTGGTTGTGCAGACCTTACACTGATGCCTGTGTAGTAGGTGCTGCGAGACTTATCTTACTTTTAATTGAAGTGATGCTCTCATGGCCCGCAAGAGCAGGTTGCAAGATGTCCCTTGGTTTATCGGCTTGGCTCGGTTTGGCTTGGCTTGGTCAGGTCTGGCTCCACTTTGGATATGTCTTGGTCTGGCACGGCCTGAGCCAAGCCGCACTAAAATCATCTCCAAATGACCCCACTGCTGCTCCTGAAGGCAACAACGGAGCTTCGGGTGGCTACTGCGCTGCTGCCTCTTTGGCTGACGATGGGGGGTTACAACATCCACGGGGCCAGCCTACTGCACTGATTTGCTTGCGGCTGCCGTCAAAGCTTTGGTTATGCTAGGGGTGCATTGATGTTAGTACCCTCTTTTCAGCTTGGCAGACCTTGACAAGTCAGGAAACTCATCTGCGATGCGGTGACGCTTGGTGCTAGCCATATCAAGGCGTTACAGTGGGGCAGGTGTGGCAGGTGGCGGAGGCCCTGACTTCTGTTTGTTGTTTGGCATTTTCTCATGTGTTGCAGCATGCCGCTGAGTGAAGGCGAAAGGCTTCACGCGGACCAAAAACTGTCTCCGAGGATTGAGTTGGATGGCTCCCTGCGGTTGTGTCACCACTCTCCAGAACTCGCAGCCGCTGGACTGAGAGGGTACTTCCGCTGTCCTTTTCCTAGGCTGGGCCAAGCCGTGCAGAGCTTAGTGCAATTGGAGCAGGCGGCTATGCGAAGGCTTAAGAACCCTAGGCGAGTTGAGGTTCCATCGACCTCTCCTATCGGGGCCATGTCCCTGAAAGTCTCAGTGCTTCGCACCGGCACCCCAGCACAAACCTAAATCCACAGACCCGGCCCTCCACTGAACCCCAAGTAAGAAACCGCCCTGCCAAGCCGATACGCGAACCTCCACCAAGGCCATCTTGTTGCGGGATCGGCCCGGCTTCAGCTTCGAAGGGACAAAGTTCCAGGATCTGGCGCGGGCCTCGTCTGGGACCGGGGCCACCGAAACCGCCTTTTCTAGAGCGGAGTCTAGGGTTCAGGGTGTGGGCAGGGAAAGGGGAAGGAGTTCTTCGGTCTGAAACAAGCCGAGGTGGCCACATCCTGGGAGGCCCGAGAAGCTGCCTTGCAGCTGAACAAAGGAGATGAGGCGCAGGAGCCGCCACTCGGACGAACAGGGACTGGCAGAGCCGATTCCTCGCAGCTTAGACACCCCAGCTCATGGTCTGCCCAGGATCGCTCAGTCCTTCCACACGCGGCTTGTGGACAGCTGTTTCAGAGCTGATTTCAGCCTTGTTTTCAGCTTTGGATCCCAGTCAAAGGTGCTGTTTCTTGATGAAGGAAGCCCGGAAAACCAAGTTGCTCCAGACATTTTTGTGGCTGCGATAGAGACCGCCTTAGGTTCGAGCAAGTTCCGCACGGAGGTCTTCCATGTGAAGTACTGCAAGCCGGACTGGATCCCGATGTTAGGGATCAAATGACAGTGAACTTATTTGCTCAAGTGAAGCCCCACAATGCCCCAGACAGGCTCCGGGTCGAGCCGAAGGCATGTGAACTCTTGCCACCCCTGAGCATTGCAGTCATGAGGACGGACAGACAAGCCACCTTGTCGGCCTCCGCGACTTTACGGACGGCTCAAGGGCTGCGAGAGGGAGCTCTAGCAGCGGCAAGATTCCCGCAAGGACCAAAGCTCCCTTCGCCGCGAACCTCCTGCAGAGGTGCCTGCCGCTCCCTCACAGAAGAGGGAAGGGACGACACTACGACCCGAGAACCCAAATACTCAAATACCTCAGGTCAGGGACAACAGTAGCAACGCTCTGGTTCGGGACAACAGCGCGCCGGATTTCTCAAGCCGGGGCTCTGCAACAGAGGAGATGTCGAACATGGCACCTCGGCCTTTTGAAAAGCGGCTCCAGACTCCCACTCCTCGGCAAGAGAGCCACGGCTCAGGTTTTGCTGAGTCTCGACGCGACTGGGCTGCCCTTGAGTAAGGTACACGCGCCATCTCACTGGGCATGTGGGGAACAGCAAAAGGGGCCACTTGCAACTCTAACCAGTGACCTCTCGTTTGGTCCACTGCACATCGCGTGGGCATGGGATGCATCGAGCAGACGAGGTGGAGCACATGTCCGTGGAGGCTGCTTCTGCTCCAGCCACTAGCCGCTAGGCGACATGCTCTACTCAACTGCGTTTGCAGTCGATGGGGTGCTTCAGCTCTTTGCTTACCTTGTCTTGCGAGTTTGTGGAAAGCAACGTACAAGTAGCAACAATATCGGATACGAGAGTCTCTCTCCAGTCAGGCTTGGTTGGAATGGACCTGGTCACGCTGTTCCCCGGCCCCGGTGCAGAACTGCTTCGGGACGTGTGGTCCAAGGAGAAAAGAGTCTGGCTTCTTTGTTCCTGGGGGCTTCTCTAGGAAAGAAGACAGAGTGGGGGGGGGTCTTTTTAGATGACGTGGCCGCCCCTCCAAAGGAGACCTTTCGGTTCCAAGCGGCGAGTTCAACTCTTGGCCGCCAGGACTCTGTCTATAGCTTTAAGGGTCTTCCTCTTGACGTCATAAGGTTCAAGGAATCCGTGCCTTTTCGGGTCTGAGAGTTTGAGGGTAGTGGGCTTAGGGTTTCGTTTCTTCAGCAAACCCCCCCACACCGCCTGGCCGCGCTAGTACACTGGTGCTCTGAAGTTTACGTTTCTACTTCCTCACGCTTAGGTTAGCGTGAGTGGGGCTGCCCGAGACAGCTTGCTGGGATTTTGCGGGACGGTGCGGCATCGAGCCTTACGAACCTTCTGTAGCCCAGACCTTTGCGAGCCTGGGCACGCCAGGAGTTGCCACCCCGTGTCTTCGTGTTTGTGAAGATGGTGGTGCAATGGCGCTCGGAGCTTGTTGACCACATCGACGGGTGCGTTGAGGCGTGTTGAATAAGCCAAAGCTTCCCGAACGTGTTTGCCATGGGGTTTGTGAGCATCTTCCAAAGCTTTGGACTTGAAGTGCTGTTGGGTTTCGGCTTGGTGTTTCGGCTTGATTCATGACAACCCTTCGGTACAGTGTCTCGCGTCATCTAGCACTGCGAAGGCCATCCGAACGGACAAAGGACCCATCAAACTGCTGATGCGCTGCCGCGGCAGCCTCCTGACCTCCTCCTCTAGCATCCGCTCCTCCAGCTTGGCTCAGGCGAGGGGACGTTGGAAACAGTAGCCCTTCTGCCGCAGGCATTGCTCTTTCGCCTTATGTATTGTGCTGTATAGCATATGCATGCACGCGCTTTCACCTCACGTCACGTGACACATACATGACATCGCGACATCGCCTTACAGATGGTATAGCATAGCAAACCTACGCATAGCAAAGCATATCATGCAATTGCCTACACAACTGCACGTCCCACACCTGCGCCCCAACTCACAACAGATACTACGTGCGCGCGCACATACAGACGGACAGACATGCGTGCACGCTTACCACTCTGCCTACCTGCCTGACTCTACCCACCTGGCTGCCTGCCTGCCTGCCTGCCTGCCTGCCTGCCTGCCTGGCTACCTACCTACCTGCCCCCACCCTCCTGCCTACATGCACATATGCATACATGCAGACATGCACGCACATACATACACATATACATACACATATACATATACATATACATATACATATGCATATGCATATGCATATACATATACATATACATATACATACATATACATACATATGCGTATATGTACATACACATGCATACATACACATACATAGAGATATATTTACGTACATACATACATACATACCAAGAAATGCGTACCTGTGCACATACATACATAGACACATACATGCATACAGACAGAGACCGAGACAGACCGGCAGAAAGACAGACATTTGCATATCTTGACGCACGCACACACATACGCATATGCACACTTAACCGCACACACACACAGAGAAATACATAGCTAGACGTACAAATACGTAAACGCAAAAAGTCAGCTTATACGCAATTGCATATACATACGTATGCATATTTATACACACACATCACATACATATACTTACATGTTCATACATGTCCGTACGGACATGCATGCACACACATGTGTATACATAGTCATGCGTACATAGACATGTTCATACATATACACTTGTGTACATACATGTACGCATATATACCTACTGATGTCTTAATGGAAAATGTGAACACAAAGCGGCACATGAGTGCTTGCACGATGCCTGCTCGGAGAGCACACAGGCGCAAAGAGACAGGCATGGAACAACAGATGCAGATACGTAGCACGCACAAGCATCACAGGAACAAGGCAGAAGATGGGAAAGAGGGAAGAGCTAGGTCATCGGGGCCTGAGGGTTTTTAGGGCTTCAGGAGCTGTGGAGTGGGCTTTTGAGTGAACCTTGGAGTGGATCAGGCCTCTGAAGGGAGACTTCTCTCTGTGGTGCCCGGCGGCGTCGAGGATGACATCCACTTTCTGGGATAAGATCTGCTCGTATAATACTTTGCATAGCTCCGAATCTGTCCGAGTTCTCTTGCATAGGCACACTCGGCAGGCGGAAAGTTTGATTAGAGTTGAAGTACAGTTTCGCCACTGCTTCTTGGGCAGTGAAAGGCTGACCCAGCCTTGAAATTAATCCACGCATTCCGTGCTAGTTGCTCGTTTTGCGCACGGCTTTTCCCACAACACAGGCCCAGGCTCAGGCATCCTGTGATTTCAGTGAGTTTCACATCGATTCGTCAAAGCCCGGGCTGTTGGCTTCTCGAGCCCAAGAAGGGATCGAACGGCAACGAGGGCGTGGGACCAGGATGTACAAACAGCACATAACGGCTTTGCTACTCACCACACATTCCTCGCCAGTCTTCGGCCGTCTTGGCCGCCTTAGCCTTGGCCCCATAAAGAGTACCCCGATGCCGCGGGCCAAAACCCATCCGTATTGCGAAGATTCTGCGCGAAAATCGTGTTTGCCTGGGACATGCTGACATGCAGAGTTCTGTGCCCGCATGCTTCACCTGACAGCAGAGTCAGGATATGGGTTTGGCTTCATGTTGGGGTTGGTTGTGGTACCGACGGATACATAAATCAGGTCAGCCTACTTTTGCCAAAGGCCCGATGCCTGGAAAAGCCTGGCAAGCGAAGGCCTGCCGAATAATCACAGTGAAGCTCCGATGTGTACAGAGCCAATGGGCCACGATAGTTTTCGAGACTTGACCGACTGTCCGGCTATGTCCTAGCAGGCTGACTTAATTCGGACCCACGTCCTCCAGCACACACTTTCCACGACAAGCATCACTTAGATTCTCCAGTGCCGATGGCGGAGACGAGTGCGTCCGAAGCTGCCACAGACGCTCGGGTCCTCACTCAGCTTTGCAAAGGAAACAAGTACCTAACTCTCTTGGAGTCTGTGTTTGTGTGTGTGTGTGTGTGTGTTTGAGCATGCTCGTCATACTCCGTATGTTGGTATTTCACTTTTCTGTTTTCGTGATTCCACCTGACATGTTTATCTTGGTTTCCCTTTGTTAGCCGGGTTTTGTGACTTCTCGAGGAAAGCGAGGACGCCGAAGATGACGAACCTAGTCTTTGGGCTGAGGCCCGGGCGGGAATTTTGAGTCTTCTGTCATCAGAGCTTGGGACCAGAAGTAAAAAAGACGTGATGATGTCAAATAATTGCAGAAACAGTAGCTATTGCATGTATATGCAGGTGTGGATAGCTGCACGCACACACACACACATACGTGTATATATATATATGTATGTAGAAATGTGTGTGTATGTCTATGGCTACATCTACTTATCTATCTGTCTATCTATCTATCTATCTATCTATCTATCTATCCATCTATTTGTTTATCCATCTCACCATCTATCCATCTATTTATCTATATATCTATCTATCTATCTATCTATCTATTTATCTATGTATCTATCTGTCTCTCTATCTATCTATCTCTCGCCATACCTATTCCTATTCCTATACTTAGACCTATATCTATATCGGTTACGTCATTATCAGTTTATTTCTTTTTTATCTGTATCTATTTGTTTGTATCTATGATTGTAGCCAAACCTCATACCTGCATCTCTCACGATACTACACCTATACTACTATAGTATCTTGTTCCCCCAAACTTCCCGTACTTAGTCGAGCCCGAGTGCTAAACAACTATATCTGCACTTTCGTATTTGTGTATATATACGGGTGTGTATACACACATAGGTTGTTCTTCTCGTTTTTATCCACATCTATATCAATATCTTTATCTTTAGTTTGTGTCGACATCCGTATCTGTATGTTCCTGTAATTTTCTATCTATCTATCTATCTATCTATCTATCTGTCTATCTATCTATCTATTTATCTATCTGCCTTCCTATCTAGCTATTTATTTGTTTATCTGTCTATCTGCCTTGTAGGAGGAAATTTCTATCTATCCATCCATCCATCTACCCGTCTATCCATCCGTCTATCCATCCATCTCTCTCTATTTCTCTCTCTTTCTCCATCTATCTATCTATCTATCTATCTATCTGTCTGTTTATCTGTCAGTATCTATCTGTCTGTCTATCTATCAATCTATCAATCTATCTATCGATCTAAATTGTGTACATGATGGACAGATAGATAGCTAGATAGATAGTTTCGATATGCGTATATCTACACGTGCATATGTATGTATGTATGTATGTATGCATGTATGCATGTATCCATGTATGCATGTATGCATGTATGCATGTATGCATGTATGCATGTATGCATGTATGCATGTATGCATGTATGCATGCAGCTGTGTATGTATGTATGTATGTATGTATGTATGTATGTATGTATGTATGTATA